GTCACTGCCGAGACATCAACCAGGTGATGTTTTTGTACCAGCAGTGTTTGTCTTCGTGGGGAAGTGGATGGACAGCTGTTTAGGTGCATGCCGGATGTGTATCGAGGGGAGAATTGGAATGGTGAAAATAGACGGATGTGCAAATCAGGGAAGTAAAGCAGAGAATAGATGAACCGAAAGAAAGAAAGAGAGAAAGAAAGAGAGAGAGAGAGAGAGAGAGAGAGAGAGAGAGAGAGAGAGAGAGAGAGAGAGAGAGAGAGAGAGAGAGAGAGAGAGAGAGAGAGAGAGAGAGAGAGAGAGTGAAAAGATCGCTGTAAAAACCCGTCTCTAAAGTTTGGTATTTGCAATAAGTCCAATGAAGGCATCCGGTAATTTGAATGCCTTGACTTGCCACATGTAATCCAGGTCCACTGAAATTGTTCCGATATCCTATGTAGATAATTTATTTTTATGTCGGTCGGGTGGTGAACAGTCGCACCTACCTGCACCTGCTGCTGGTCGGCCGTCCACTGCTCCGGCGGGTCTGAGAAGAAGCAGTGGTCCAGACGGAACTGGTGATACCGGGCGCGGTGGTCGCAGCCCGGCTGCACCGGCACCTGAGTACGCCAGCAGGTCAGGGTCAGCAATAGTGCTGCATTACAGGTCAAAACCAGTACCACCAATAGGTCAGCATAAGCCCCAGCAGGCCAGTATTAGCGGTATCGTGGCAGTGCCATGGGATCAGCTGTGCCGCGGCTTCTTGGCAGAATATCTGTGGTCAACAACGGGGACCACAAGTGCAAGATTTGACAAAAGGAAATTAATGGAGTGAACAAGACAAGCTAAACAGTGCCTACGTGTTACACGGTCGGTGTAGCAAATGTTAATTGCTCCTACAGCAGCTGCTACTCGCTGCAGCTCAGTGTCCTTGCCGATGTATCTTAGCAGGCGACATTTAATTAATGGTGCCAATGTCCCCGGGTGCACGGAAATAGCTCTGGAGAGCGGCGGCACGGCTCGGGGAGTACACTACACAAACACCAGATGACTGATGCCGTGCGCTACCCGGCCAACTGCATGGACGCTCCTGGCGCGCCCGCTGCGCCGTCCCACGCCGCGCCCGCGCCGTGGCTGACGCGGCACGTACGGCGACGGCAGGATTTCGAGTGCGTGCCAGAGAGCCGTCACGGGAGCGATGCTTCCGGTTCCGGCGGGCCGGCTGACTGCTGAGGCTCCCGTTGTCAGCGACTGTGTCAGATGTTAATTATCACACCTGTCTGTCAAGTGTGGGATGGAGTGCTGAAGGAAGGAGTGAGATGAGATGGTGAACTGTCATATTGAGTTGAGCTACGCGGCTTTAACATATTGAAGCCCAACCGCACTTATAAAGAAGTCGTTCCATCTCTTAGAAAAGACAAATATCTTTCACGGGATGTTTGACCTTATATTCAAATATCCTTAGACCTTAAGGATAAGGATTGGATGTCCCTTTAGCACTTCTTGGCTCTGGCAGTGCTCCCTTGGATAACGACTCGAGTGACCCAATCATGACCCGACGCCTTCGGCGGTCTTACCCGCAGATCCTCGATGGTGACACTGCCCTGGCTGCCGGTGATGACCGTACTGGCGCCATCTCTCCTCTCCCTGTGAACATAAGAACAAAACCAGAAGAGTGACGTCATATCCCACATGGTGACGTTATCACACACTGAGGTGCCGTGCGGGAGCGCAGTATAAACATCGTTTCGTCACCTCTGTTGCTGCTGGTGCGGAAGATAAACTGCTAACAAAACAGGGAGACCGTGGTCTGCGCGTGTCTGCACAGAGCGGCTGTAGCTCACTGAGTAGTGGGTAGGTGCACCTAGATGCACAGTTGCCACTGTGGTATTCATTTGTTATTCATTATTTTGATCGGGACAAATAGGCATTTCAACTGAATATATTAAAACGCTTTCCCAGCATAGCACCCCATAAACACTAAGTTAGTACTCTGCAAGATCACCGCCCATCGTGCTTATTGAAACAGATCGCAGATGGTCCGCGGGCGCAGCATATGATACCTAACTTAAGCAGCCTTGAATTTTCGCGGTTCAGCCGTAGTCAAACGCTCAATCATAGTTGACATTTAGCTTCCTGTGCGCACGGTGCATGAGTTCCGGACCCAAGTGTGCGCTCAGAGGCCGTCCTTGTGCCGTGTTTGGATAACACTGCAAGAAAACGTCGGATTCGTATGGATGGGAAGTGGTTTAAGAATCTCCCACACATACGGCATTTTTACGCAGGATGTGTATAAAAGGAGCGGGGAAATGGCAGGAATGCGTGCAATGTGCATGGTCGAGGTTTCAAATAGCACTTTGAACTTGACTTATTTGTCTCGAAACGATTCAAACCGGAGAAAACGTGTTGAATTTACTTTTACCTACATTTCCTTCCTTCCAAGCAGCTTGCATTGGCTGCTTGATTGGCGTCTGCTAACCCATAAAACGATAAAAGTCACGTTCATACTTGGCTTAGCGTTCATCTACAATAGCTATGCATTGCATATGATATATGCTGTTGATAAACAAAGGCGCAATCCATCTTACGTTTCATCTTGAAATAGAATGACGTTTTATTTCATTGTCATTCCTTTCATTCAATAGAATACAGTTTTAGCAACGAGGCAGGTCACGTTTTTCACAGTTCCAACCACCCCATACCCGGGTGCTCACTTTACTCGTAAGTCACACACCACTCCACGCACACCAGCCATCGCGTTATCAGCTCTCACGACACTCAGCTCACGTTTAGCTCACGCTTGCTCACGCAGTAAAATCACACCGACCAACGTAGCTTGCGCCGTGGCTCACCTCTGGCTCAGCGGCCGGACACGAACAGCGACCCTCACGTGTGCCATCCTGGAACTGGCCCGCCGGCGACTGTCGGTCCCGACGCCGCTCCGTCGGACCCGACGGAGGCACCGTCGGACCCGACGGAGGCACCGCGGACGGGCCGGCGGACGGGCGGCGCGCCGGCGGACGGGCGGGGCGGCGGCGGTTCTCGCCTATTTCTGTCTGCCGGGGACAGGGGACCGGCGCGGCGGATGTCCGGATGGCTCCACGCCGGCGCAGACAGTTCAGCCATGCCCGTTGGATGATGGTTTATGCGACAGGTCTGGGATGCTGACAGGTGGCTTCATTGAAGAGAAGATTCCTTTGATCACTTATGAACCAAACAGGCATTCCGTTCAACGCTGCAAAGTTTTTTTTTACACTCGAGGGTGATTTAAGCAATTTCATTTAGCAGGCCTTCTTTGTTGCATTTGATGTGACAATTATAAGATAAAATCGCATTTGTTTCTTAGCTGTCAGGTGTATGGCATTGATGTCACTGCCCTTCATTCCTACTTCTGAGAGACCCCTTTGTCACCGCATAATACACGACGCAATCAGCCTTATCCTCCAGTTCGTGGAACTTTATGTAATCACAGCCAACAGTCACAACATAAACATTATGCCTATCACTATCTTCATTAGGTTTCCAACCCACGTTTTGTAACGGCTTCCTAATGACGTCACAATGATTGAACGCGTCATGACCATAGTACACACTGATACACCCCCACCCCCCACCCCCGGAATAGCAGGGCGCTATAGGTATGCGACGTGCGGCAAGTCATCTATGACAGGTCATGGGTAGCTATGACTAGGTCACGTGTCTAAAAACGCGCGGTTTGTGCTGAAAATGCCTCCCGACCGTTACCGCTATAAACCACCGCGATTTATCGTATCAGAGTCATAGTCACGTGGCTGCTTTAACAGGACCGGAACCATGGAGCGACACCGGAAGTGATTCACTTCCGGCCAGCTGTGAGCCGTAGCGGAGTCAGAGTCAGAAGTAACGCAATGGCCAGCACAATATAAATTCAGAATGTGTATAGTAGACGATGAGATACCCCGAAATACGCATCTCGATGAGAGAATGAATAACGTTTGGTTGAAACGTTTCAACTGCGTCGAGTTGCGTGTAGGTAATAGGGTAATAGGTATGTTATTATACTCCCCTGACGCGTACCTATAGCTGCGCTCTGGCGAAAGGACACTTACAGCTGCGCCCCGGCGATTTTCATGTTGTGTAACTCATTCACACGATCCAGGTTTATTTGGGAGTCAGCCTGGCCCAGCTCTAGCCTGTCTCAGCGCTACAATAGGCTCGCGAATTTACTGCGACCGGCAAAAACTTGGAATGTGGGGATGACCTTGCCCTATAGTTCCAGGTGCCAAAGGCAGCGACAGTAGGTGTTGCCCTCATTAACCCTCACAGCAGGGTTTAGTCTATATATTTTGCCGTACGATCGGAAAAATAGTAGTTTGGGAGCAGATGAAAACGAGAAGCCCAGCCTAACCTTGACCATGCTTTCCAGGAAAATGACTGGCTTAGAAATTTATTCACACTCTGATTATATTTTTCTCATTTTACAATTCTTTGAATATAATTTATGTAGCAGGGAAAATCAAAGTAAAGACATCAGGCATTCAGGTGTCAAAAATCATGATTATCTCACCGATGCTCACTTCTATATGTATATAATTTTTATGATCTGACCCGGATGCAGACAATCCCGGCATTTAGCCAAAGTTCACACAAATTCATAAACTGCTTCTTAATTTTCGTCTTTTCGAATTGCACAAGCGTAAACTGAACTACTGAAGCTTCGAGACTTTCCGCAATCCGATCATGGCTTTTAGACAGCTATTTATCATTTTATGCATAGGTTTGAGGACAACGTTGATGCATGCGGGGGAATAAAGTTTTACAAACATGGGCTTTCAGTTTCCACTAAATCATGCCCGTGTTTCCCGTGGTGACAAACCCTGCCCCCGAGCGTGTGAACTTTGTCACCCACGTTTACTCTGGGCACGTGCTGTCCTCCGTCCTCCCAGCGTCCCCTCCCCAGTAGTGGGGGAGGGGAGGGACCAATCAGCGTCCAGGGAAGCTGTGATTGGTCAGCTGCGATTGGTGGCCGGAGTCTGCTCCCGGACGGTAACAGAGGACCGTGAAACGACCGGAAGGCTGGGCGACGGCCGTGATTCAGTTCATAAACAGACCGCCCGCGATTAGAGGGCGATGTGGTAGGGCAGCGCGACACATAGGAGCGCCGCCAGTGTCGAGACGCCGGTCCGTCTGCGAGGAGCCGCCGGACCCACCCGAACTCACGATCACCGGGGAGAGTGAGGGGAGAAACGAGTGGTGTTACTGACACAGAGAAATGGTGAGTAGTCCTCCACCTCGACCCCACCCCCATCCCACCCACTCAACCATGTCACGCATGAACGGTCATTGACAGCCGAAGATGTACGCTTATAACTAAATAGCCATGTTAGCATGTGATATTGATTGGCATTGAGTTGCAGTCTTCGCTACTTTTCTTATATCATGACATTCTTAATTTGAACCTGTTGTTGTCTTATGCTTATGACAAATGCTCGCAAGTTGAAAACATGTTGCTTAGAGGAAGTGAGTTATTAGAGCAGTTTGTTGAAGTTGAAATTTAGTTAACCTGTTGTGAAACTTTTCCTTTCACAGGCGATACAAATCGGTCACGTTATATTCTTCTTTTTGCTGGTAAGTTAAACGTTTTCAGTTACTTGATTTACTTTAAGATACATCTTAAAAGTGTGATCATTTATCAATAGTTTTGGGCATGTCACAATGAACATATCCACCAATCTCTGAAATATCTTTACGATAAGATGCCTGTTTTGATTTGACCTTTGCCCATGTGACATTGGAGCTGGATAGATGAACACGATCACGGTCGGCCACTGTGTTATGACCTGACCTGACCTGACCTGACCTGACCTGACCTGACCTGACCTCTGCCCACATCACAGCTGAGCTGGGGGAACGGCCACGGCCGGCTGCTGCTTATGACCTGACCTGACCTGACCTTTACCTGTGTCACAGCTGAGCTGGGTGGACGGCCACGGTCGGCTGCTGTGTGATGACCTGACCTGACCTGACCTTTACCCACGCCGCAGCTGAGCTGGGTGGACGGCCACGGTCGGCTTCTGCGGCCCCCTGCCCGCTCATCCCTCTGGAGGTTCGGCTACAAGTCGCCGATCAACTACGACGACAACCAGCTCTACTGCGGCGGCAGAGATGTGCGTCAACCACCGGTCACGCTCGCAGTTCAATTATTTTATTTTAATTCTATTTTTTAACCGTCACTGGTGAAATCAGCTAGAAATGCTGTATGAAGTGTGGTATGTACTTACCTATGAGTGGTAAGAAGGAAGTGTGATATGCATGGCAACTCGTATTGTGTAACGTTTTAAGCCGTTTACCGATTATAATCGTCAAAACCTTTACTGTTCTGCTGCCGATCATGGATAATAGATATACCGCTGGTCTCATGTCAATTATCAACAGGTCAAACCCAACAGGCAACAGATCAACCACAAATCACTCCAAGCTTTGGATGGTTTGTGTCTTGTCGGCAACTTTGTGATAGCTTTCTGGTGAAGCGTAGAGTTACAGTATTTCAATGTAACTTTCTAGCCTATGTTGCCGAAGCTTGCCTTGACTGAGAAATTTGCCGGAATAAATTGCAATTAATAATGTTGTCCATATAATTCGCTGTACCTACCTATACTGAAGTCTGAACCCTCTGCATGCTGTGTCTCCAGCACCAAATATCGCTGGGCGGACGCTGCGGCATCTGTGGCGACCCTTACGATGAGCCTGTACCGCGGACTAACGAGATCGGCGGGCCGGTGTACCGCGGGTACATCACCGAGCGGTACCTCGAACAACAGGTGAGGTGTGGGACGGTACAGCAGTACGGTGCACCGCGGGTACATCACCGAGCGGTACCTCGAGCAGCAGGTGAGGTGTGGTACGGTACAGCAGTACGGCTTACCGCTGAAACATCACAGCTGTCTCGATAAACTTTCGTCTTGCATTGGCGTTTAGTTGTTTCGGCTTAAATCCCTTTCATTGTTCTCCTCGTTTGTCACAGGTTATAGAGGTCGATGTACACATCACGGCCAACCACAAGGGCTTCATCCAGTTCAAGATCTGTTCGGTACCAGGCTTCGACACAGAAGCGACCCAGGAATGCCTAGACCGGTGAGAAACGCAATTACTTTTGTGACAATATCAAATCATTTATTCAAACAATGCCACCAAATGCGGACGTGTGCTGTTCGTTTGTATCTGTTCACTAAGTTCAGTATTTTCGGTTACGTCTGTGAAGTGTCTGTTCAGCACTCGTCCCGGCCCCTGCTGGCAGTGTTTGTTTAGTTATACGGATACCTGTCCAGTGATCGTCCCGACACCCGCTGACAGCTGCTGTCGTCGTGTTTCAGCCACGTGCTAACGGTGGCCGACTCGGAGGTGACCGAGATACCGATCCACCCCCGGGACCGGCGTGTGAAGGTGTGGCTCCAGCTGCCGGCCGGCCTCACATGCCAGCACTGCGTCTTCCAGGTCAGCAGGCCCTGTGGCGAGTTATCCCTGTCAGCGGGCTCCCCTTGTAGCTAGAGAGTTCCAGGTCAGCAGGTTCCCCTGGAGAGAGTTTCAGGTTAGCAGGCCCTGTCTGTAGCGTTCCCCCTGTCACGAGCTTCAGGTCAGAGGACTCTCACGAAGAGTTATCCCCGGTCACGAGACATGCAGGGGTCGGTCGGTGGATTGTAGTAAAGCCCGGCAGACCGTTCGATGGTGACTTCACTGCGTACCGTTCATGGGGACGGACGGAGAGGAGGTCAAGATTCCCCTCCGCCCCACCCCTCCCTCTTCCCCATTTGTGTGGGCGTCCCTTCCGCGTCTGTTTCCACGACGGACAGCGGCTGCTTTGTGACGTGTCTCGTCTCCACCGCAATTCCGTTACACTATCTGCTCTGAAGGTCGTTCTTCCCGTAGAGGGCTGCAAAACTCGAGGAATGGGCCGCTCGTTATACGGTCTGCTCCAGATTGTATACACATTCCACTCAGGGAATCCAGACGCACGTATCGCAGGAAGTTGAGAACCGGAGGAGTGTGCATGGCGCATACACTGCAAAGGAAACTTCCGTCCCGTACCCATGGCTGTAGTCATTGTGGTGAAGTTAGCAATCGGCGCCGCTCTGGAATGAATCTAAATGGGCCTTGAGGTCGGATCCAGGAGGTTACGGAGCAGATAACGGTTGAAAGTTACTGCGCAATAAACACAGAGATAAAAATAAAATAAACTTGGAATCCTTAATTCATTCATCTACTTCATGTTATACCTAAACAATATTTTGTACATTGATTTCGAAGATTCAAAGACTTCAAAGAATTCGAGGAGGGGAAAGCGGAAAGTGTATGCGTCATATCCGAAAGTCCAGGAATAGTTATGTGTTATCATATTTGGTCGCTGGATGCGGTGGCCTAGGCTTAGTAAACGAATAAAACTAAAACAGTTCATTAGCCGTTTTCACGACGGCCATCTGGTAAACATTTGGTGCACATCTGGTACAGATTAGGTGCAGATTTGGTCAAATCAGGTTCAGTGTGTCTCTTAGCAGCTATCAGCTAGGGTTGCATTAATTGCTTATAGGGGAGAGTGGGGCGATGGCGGACGGTGGGTAATGCCGGCCACCCATCTCTAGTGAGTACTTTGTCCATCACTAATCAGCTGATGTTGTTTACATTTCAGTAGAGCGCCATTCTAGCACGTGATGCAAGTTTGTCACGGTAGCTCCATTATTTTCATTTTTATAGCGTTAAATGTGTTTTTCGTATCTGATTTTTAATTTTTGTTGCATCTATTTGCTGACTGTGAAATGTGTTAACGCATTTTCAGAAGTGCTGCTTTGCAATGACCTTCAATTAAGCCTTTCTTGGGCGACTGCTGGATGTGAGGCGTTTGCGGCGCAATGCCTTTGACTGCTGCCTGCTTTCTTAAAATAAAGCTGACCTCGGGGTAATACCGGACACGTGTCCGGAATGACTCCACGCGGTTTTGTTTGCGACTTCTGTCGTTAAAGCTCAACGTTTCGGGTTGCTGTGTTTACGGCTGTGTTAGTTTGCTTGCTGTGTTTACGGTTGTGTTAGTTTGCTGCTCTGTTGGCGCCGCGCTGTTGTGTTGCAGCGAGTGCAGTGTTGTGTTGCAGTGCAGTGTACTGTTAACTGCTGAATACAGTTGTCGTTTCTTAATTCTCACTTAAATTTCCATCGAAAGAACGGTTTAAGGATGAATACCAGTGACGATATTTCGACTTTTGTGCTATTGCACTTAGTGGCCGGCATTACCCCTCGCTTTTTTGCACCTCCATTTTTCACCACATTTTCGCGTAGGCTCTGAATCTGTCATCAGTGATCTGAGATACTAAAACTGGGTGCTATCTGAAAGCCTATTCCTTTGGCTATAACCACAGTCAAAATCACCATAAAATAGCTTCAAATAGCTAAGCTATTGAGCAAAATGCTTATGGTGTCGCCATTGCCCCACTCTCCCCTATGCCTGCTTTGTCATATTATCAGAGAGCATCATCGATTAAAACACTGGAATAAATTCATAAAATGAAGATATTTGCTGTAAAAGAAATTAGGTGCAGATTTGGTCAAATCAGGTGCATTCGCCGGATAGCCCGTCGTGAAATCGGCTACTATCGCATGTTTCATTTAATTAGTCCAGAAGCGCCACTCTGGTCGTATTGTCCACATCTAGCGGTGCGTTTTTATGTTTCCGTGATTCAATGTTGATAAGCCAGGGTACAAAAAGCCCTCGTGTGAATCATGTGAATGTGCGTACCTATGCCAGGATGTGGGTGTGGATGTATGCGATGTGAGGGAGGGAGGGAGAGAGAGAGAGAGAGAGAGAGAGAGAGAGAGAGAGAGAGAGAGAGAGAGAGAGAGGAGAGAGAGAGAGAGAGAGAGAGAGAGAGAGAGAGAGAGAGAGAGAGAGAGAGAGAGAGAGAGAGAGAGAAAGAGAAGGAGGGAGGGAGGAGGGAGGCGAGATGAGTGTGACTCCTGTGTGGCTTTTGGACGGACATGTCATCTGGTTTTTGTGTTGGCGGATGTGGTTCCGGAGCTGGCTCCCAGCGGATGTAAAAATCCAACAAAAAGGTGCTAGGTTTAAAGTGTCATGGGCGCATGAGATGCGGTTCCGAAGTCAGAATCAGGACAAATTCTGCGAATGACCAAGCAGCAGGTGTCTAACATTGGCATTTCGTTGAAAAGCAGCGGTGGTAAAGGTTCGCCCTACGCACATATACCTATAAAAGACCCGGAATGCAGATGTATTTTTTGTCCACCCCGATTGCCGTGCCGTCTCTACGTCTGTTCCACATTTCTGCGCCTTGTGACCGTATGCCGGCCGTCCCACAGTGGCGCTACCACGCCGGAAACAGCTGGGGTCAGTGCGTGAACGGCTCGTACGCGGTCGGCTGCGGCCCCCAGGAGGAGTTCTACGGCTGCTCGGACGTCGCCGTCGGTGACGACGTTGGTCCGTCGGACTACCGGTGAGCAGAAACATGACGTCACAGGATACCTTTTGAGCTGACAACTCACTCCACATATGCAAAAACTTGTAATAGCATTGTGAAGTAATCATCATTTAGCCAAACCCTAATGAGACATTCAATGAAGCATTATTAGGGCAAAGTTAAGTCTGGCTGTTCATCGCTGACCAACATAATTGTTTGCTTTCAGTCCGACTGTGCCGGAGGTTCCGAATGAGGTGGACGAGGCGAGAAAGGCCCGGCCGAGCCCTGCAGCGGCTCCGGTCCCGATTCCAGCACGCCCGGCGGCTCGTCCGGCCCGCCCGACCCGACCTGTCCAGCCGAAGGTCCGCCCGGCTCGTCCAGAGGTCCGCCCGGCTCGTCCAGAGGTCCGCCCAGCTCGTCCAGAGGTCCGCCCAGCTCGTCCGGAGGTCCGCCCAGCTCGTCCGGAGGTCCGCCCAGCTCGTCCGGAGGTCCGCCCGATCAGGCCGAGGATCCGCCCTGCCCGTCCGACCTCTCCGGCGACTTCAGCACCGACCACTGAAGTTGAGCCTGCCGCGCGCGTCTGTGTCAGCGTGGGTGCCATGTCGAGGGTACCCGGTATGGACGCCTGGTGTCAGCTCAACTGCAACCACTCTCCTCGCTACTGCCCTCCAGAGATCTGCAGATGCTGAGCGGCGCACTAACGAAATTCCGGAGATCTGTGGCCTGCCGAGTGCCAAGGCTTTCCTAGCATCTGCAGTTGTTGAGGGCGGCTGCCTCTCAGAGATCTGCAGTCGTTGAGGGATGTCTTCCTAAGAGCTACAGTTGCTGAAATCGGGAGCCCCAGTCTACTTTCTTCTTGAGATCAGCAGCTGCTGAGGTCCCGTAGACTATCGTCGATTGTCATTGATCGTGCTTTGATGAACAGCTTTGGGCATGTGATGGGCATCAGGTTACTGGGTATCGCAACACCTTGGCATGTGAAGTTCCAAAAGTGGAACGATTCAGGGATGCTCCAGCGTTCAGTATTAATACAGCACTCAGGAGAGAAACAAGCCACAGTTCCGTGTGAATTCATATAGCATTGCTGCAGCGATTCAGTATGACATGACAAGGAAACGAAGATGATCAAGTGACCTGAACATTGCAAATGACCATTCATTCACATTTGTTCTTTGACATGTGACCTTCCGGGACAAGGTCCACCGACAAGATGCCAGCTTGTACACTCGAGGGCAGATTGATGTTCCACCACTCCCTACCCATCGGGCTCCCATGGCTCAGCACTGGCTGCTGCCAGTGTTGCCTGCCCTCAGTACTGCTCAGCACTGCCTGCCAGTGCCAGTGCTGCCAGTGCTGCCACTGGCAGCAGCCAGTGCTGAGCCATGGGAGCCCGATGGGTAGGGAGTGGTGGAACATCAATCTGCCCTCGAGTGTACTCAGGGAGCCTGTAGTTGCTCTGACTGACTGCGAGACTTCGGAGACGACGTTTGCGATCCTTTTGGCATGCGCTATAGGGCATTTTATTCACTGTTGAGACATCGGCACCGCCTAAATTAGCCGGTGCATTACTACTGATGTCATCCATGTTTGCAAACATATCTGCTTATCAGCCTTGTCACGCTGTGTTCGCTTCGCTTGCATGTTGTCAAATGTCTGCGTTTTTGTACCAATCAGGTACCTACATATCTACAATATGGGCACACAAAGATATAAAAGGTAGGACATGGGCAGTTGTGTAACTTTATATCATTTTGTGGGGGTAGTTGCACCCAAAATCCTGAAATATGCCCCCACAATGATGAAAATGCACCCACAAGTCTTTTGCAAGGCTACAAGCGTCCTTTCGAGAGCACCGCGCCCTTCGCATGCTCTAACGGCGTCCTCCTGGCCGTCTCGCGTTCCTGGACATTAGCCGTTTTCACGACGGCCATCTGGTACACATTTGGTGCACATCTGGTGCAGATTACGTGCGGATTTGGTATTGGTCAGATTAGGTTCAGTTTGTCTCTTAGTAGCTCAACAAGGGTTGCACTTATTGCTTATATGCATGCTTTGTCATATTATCAGAGAGTATCATCAGTTAAAAAGCACTGAAATAAATCCACATGATAAAGATATTTGCTGTAAAAGAGATTACCTAGGTGCTGATTGGTCAAATTAGGTGCGCTCGCCGGATAGCCCGTCGTAAAAACGGCTAATATAGCGTTTTTAATCACTCGGCGCCCTTCTGGGAGAATGGCGCCCTTTTGACAGCACTGCGCCATTCTCATGGTCTAACGGACCGTGACTGAGACGTGACTAAGACCGAGACTTGACCGTCTCGCACCCTTATGTCTCTGTTCACCGTGCATCCCTCGACTGTTCGGCGCCCTTCTGGCCTCTCAGCGCCCCTGGACCACATGACGTTTTCAATCACTCGGCGCCCTTCTGGGAGGATGACGCCCCTTTTCATGGTCTCACATCGCCCTCGTAACCGTCTGGCGCCCCTATGTCCCCACCAACTTGGCACTACTGACTGTTGGACACCCTGCTGACCTCTCTGCGCCTCTGGATCATATAACATTTTTATCATCTGGCGCCCTTCTGGGAGAATGGCTCGCTCGTCATGGTCTCACGGCACCCTCGTAACCTTCTGACGTCCCTCCCTACGTCACCATTAACTTAGCGCTACTGGCTGTTCGGTGTTAGCTGGACGGCGTCCCTCTACATTTCTTTTTTTGACGCCCTTCCGGTCACTTTACACTTCTTACCGTGTATTTGCTTAGTCAGACATGTCGATTGAAGCGCCCTTCGGCTAGCGATGTTATCAAATTCGGTGTTAATTTAGGCTCCCACATAAATGATACCGTAAAGTGGGGCTATTTGAAACGGATTTTACTGTTTTTGGCCTCTCCCTTCAAAACGGTTGATATTTCCTACAGCATGTAAATTGCAAAAACGTAGTTCTCTGTAACCGCTTTCAGATAGGTCAATTTTGGTTCAGCTAGTAACCATAAATAAAGTTATTTTTTTAATTGAAGCCTGTTTCAAATAGCCCCATAGTGTGGGGCTATTTGAGACAGTTTTAGTTGCAAGCAATTTGAAGAAAATTGGTCAAGCTAGGGATAATTCTTTTAATGCCATGCGATTGCAAATTAACCCGCGACCTGGTGGGGGGGGGGCTATTTTTTGCCCCCCTCCAGACTTTTCGATATATCTCCAGAACCGCTGCGCCGATCGTCACCAAACTTTCAGTACCCTCCCGGACATCAATTTTACACATGGTGACCAAAAATTTTTCCAAAGGCTATGATAGGTTGGCCGAAAATGACGTCAGAGTGACGTCATGTTCTGCCGTTTTCGACCCAAAAAAGGGTTTCGCGGGAAGAGCTGTCAGGCCTATAGCTTTGCAAATACAGAAAAATGATAAGGACATAAAAGCTGTAGAATTGACAGGGCTACAAAACTGCTATCTCGGATTTTTGACATTTTTGGATTTTGACCCCCAAAAATCAAAAAATATTTTTTTTTTGATATAATGATCGAAAAATCCAAAAAGTTTATTGAATTTCGCAAAAACCGGAATATATGTGATAGTCCTTACCGCCTTCCATCCACATACCAAATTTGAGATTGATACCTCTTTTTTTTTGGCGAAGTTATAGTGAAAAAACTGTTCAAAATTGATGACGTCAAATTTTCAAACTCAATTTTTAGCAATTCTAGACCCCGTAGTGCAAAACAAAGACCACCATTAGACTCCCCGTGACGAGCTGCATCGAATCAATACCCATTTTATGCAAAACTATCAACTTTAAAATTTGACCTTTTTTGGCCTGACCTTGACCTGACCTTGACCTGAACTTCACCAGAAAGTGACCTAAGCCGTACCTGATAGTCTTATAACCAACACCATTGAGTTGGAAATGAAAAATTGGCCATAAAACATGCATCACACAACCTTAGTAAAGTTGGGCTCATGTGACCTGACCTGTGACCCTTGGTGACCTGACCTGTGACGTGACCTGGTATTGTCAGTGACCTCTAATAGCAACATATCTACTAGGCAACTGACGCCCTATCGCTGATTCTCGACAAAATGCGTTTTCCTCGGTGTTATAGCGCATTCCCTTGAAGACCCGTGAACGGTGAAACATTTCATCTTTGACCTGACCTGTGACGTCATCGGTGACCCCGAGGTCAATGAAATTTGGTTTCCCTCGACAAATTTGACAGGGCTTTCGAACGCCGTTTGAATTTTGCGGATCCGTCCAGTAGTTTCGGAGATACGAGGGGGGGCAAAAAATAGCCCCCCCCCCCACCAGTCGCGTTATAAAGAGACCCCACCAGGGCGCGGGTTAAATTTTGATACTTCTGGCAAAAAGTATTTCTTTCAACTACAGCTATATAACCCTTATAATCAAATTTTTCGTTTTCGTTGGACACAGCATTTCGGTCTGCTAAAAAATTGCATTACTTTATGCTAGGGCTGTCATAATATGATGTGATCCTAAGCTCTAAAAATCACAGGATGATTATCTAGGACTATTTCTAAGTAAACGATAATTAAATTTTCAAGTAAAGTTGTTTTGTTTATATCTGGCGGCGTAAAACATATAGGCCGAAAGTTGGTGGGGCTATTTGAGACAGGCTCGCTACTGCATTAAACGCACCGTAATGCATTAAAAAGGGGAAAGCAGTTTCCAAAATGGCTGAATGAATGATATGCATGATCGATTGTTCCATTGCACATCAACCTGTGAAGAAATAACAGAAAAAGGTCAATTGGTTGTGATTTTATACCGATTTTCCTAGATCACTGCATGTTGTATCGAATGGCCGGTTACCGCACTGCATCAACTACGCATACTGAAGGCTCACCTAACAGTAGATAAATAACCTTCGATGGTGCTTATGAAGAACCAGAGTAGACATGGGTCGATTACTGACCACGTCAGTGACTTATCAAACACATTCTATGCACATTGCAGTGATACATTCATAAAGGTAACTGATATCGTCAGGGGCGTAATCACTCCTTAAAAAAATGGGCTGGAAATAACTCTCTCCGGGGGCGGCATCAAATGCGAAGGGAAGGGCGGCTGATCAGCAAGAGGGCACCAATGAGTAGGATGATGGCAATCAACAAAAGGTCACGAATGGGTAGAAGGGCGGCGATCAACAGGAGGGCGCCAAAAGGTAGGAGGGCGGCGATTAACAGGGGTTCACCAATGGGTAGAAGGGCGGCGATCAACAGGAGGGCGCCAATAGGACGGAGGGGCCCGATCGACAATCAACAAGTAGGTGCCACCAGGTAAGAGGGCGGCGAGGAACAGGAGAGCGCCAATAGATAGGAAGGTGGCGATCAACAAGAGGTCGCCAATAGGCAGAATGACTGCAATCAACAGCAGGTCGTCAATAGGTAGGAGGGCGATCATTAACAGGAAGTCGCCAATGGGCGCAAGGTTGACGATCAACAGGAGGGCGGCAATGGTGAGGAGGGCGCCTTCGCCCAAGAGGGTGACATTGAACAGGAGGGCGCCTGCATGAGTAGGGCTGCGATCAACAGAAAGGTACCAGTGGGTAGGATGGCGCGGTGATCAACAGAAGGGCGCCAGTGGGTAGGAGGGTTCCGATCAACACTCAACAAGAGGGAGCCACGGAGGACGCCACATGGGTATGAGGGCGGCGATCAACAAGAGGATGCCAGAACGGAGGACGGCGGCAATCAAAATTCTACAGGAGGGCGCAGTAGGTAGGAGGGTGCCGACCAGCCTAAAGGCGCCAACGGATAGCGGGGCGGCGACCTACAGGAGGGCGCCTTTGGGTAAGGGCGCCGATTTATAGGAGGCCGCCAATAGGTAGGGGTATTCCGATCAAAATGAGGGCGCCAGTAGGTAGGACGGCTGCGATCAACAGGCTTAAATTGGCGACTACCACTACGATTAGAGCGCTACAGCCTACAAAGCGGTTGGAGGGCGCCGGAGGGCGCCCTCCAACCGCATTTTCCCTGTAAACATATTCGCGATTGGAGGGCGCCTTCGGCGCCTTCAATCGCAAATGGTGCTGGGCATGGTCCAGTGGCCCCCCTGTCTACGCCCCTGGATAATAGATAGGTACGTACGTGAAATGATACAGCGTTATAGGGAGGGACGGATCATAAAACATTCTGGGAAAGGGAGGCGTGTAAGAGCAGAAAGGTGTCTGGGGAGGGGCGCCACGTAGCGGTGCAGCAAGGT